GACGTGGACACTCATTGTGCCAGGCAGTTTATGCGTGTTTCTCTCTCATACCAGTATCAGACGTGGACACTCATTGTGCCAGGCAGTTTATGCGTGTTTCTCTCTCATACCAGTATCAGACGTGGACACTCGTGCTAGGCAGTTTGTGTGTGTTTCTCTGTGACACCAGTATCAGACGTGGACACTCATTGTGCCAGGCAGTTTATGTTTCTCTCTTGTAGAAACCATGTAGGTATGCATGATGACAACCACCTTCTCAGGGAGAGAACAGGCTCACAGAGGTCAACGAGCTTGCCTGACACGGCACAGTGAGTGGCCTAACCGAGATTCACACCTGGATCTGTCTGGCTCCAAAAGATGTGTTTCTTGGTTTATTAGGCACTGACAAAACTCTTCCACACGCACTGTCTGTGAATGGGAGCTACCAGCCGGCCTCTCAGCCCAGTGTCAGCCATTCCTCTCCCTCTCAGACTCAGCCATGCCCACAAGTGAAGAACAGGATTTGTATGTCTTCACTGAAGTCTGTAAGAAAATGACCATATTTTATGTATGTATGTATGTATGTACTCATGATCTACTTTGTCAAAAGTGGTATTGTACTGTGTCTAGAGTTTGTGTGTGGCCTGGAAGGCTTCTTTTAAGTTTTCTGGAATTAGTATTTACCAGTGGCTCCTCATCAGGGCTATGTAAAGAGTATTATTGGGTTTGAGAATCACAGTGCACTCCATTAAGAATGGCAAGTGGTTTTTCACGGGCTCCATCTCCTGGAGGGGCAAGTGGGTGGGTACAAGGGAGAGGAGATGACTAAGAACCACAGATTTCACTGCTTTCCAGATTCGGAAGGGGGCTGAGAAATAGAGTGGACCCACTACAGACTCTAGAATAGAGCAGTGCACCCCTGGGTCCCATAGACCTTGTCTAGGGTCTGAGAGCCCATTTCCAGAATTACTGGTCGAGTGAGATATTCATAGTAATCTTTGTGCTTTTCCTTTCCACGCTTGTGTTGGTGACCCTTCCTCAGCCCAGCGGTCCTTCACTCTGGCTACAAATACTTACCATTAAATGAGAAACTTCGGCACATGAACATTTGAGAGTCTCCTTGAGCGGACAGTGAGTCATGCATCCAGCAATAAGCCCCAAATCATTCCGGGCTCCAGTGAAGGGGTGCCAGGGAAAATCTTTCATAAGGTGCTCATGGAAGCAAGATAAAGAAAATATCTGATTGGTTAATGTGAAAAGTCCCTCGTTCGAGGTTAGTTTGTGGTTCCTAATTGGTTAATCTTAAATTTTGTTTTCCTAGGTTAAAATCATTCCCTCTGAGTTGGGTTTCAGTTGGTCACATAGGAACTCAAGGCCCTGGAGCCATCTCAGGCTAGTGGCTTCTCAATTAATTATCTTAACAGTACTGATTCTAGGGCCAGGCATGGTGGCTCACGCCTGTAACGCCAGCATTTTGGGAGGCTGAGGTGGGTGGATCACGAGATCAGGAGTTCAAGACCAGCCTGGCCAATATAGTGAAACACCATCTCAACTAAAAACACAAAAGTTAGCCAGGCGTGGTGGAGTGCACCTGTAATCCCAGCTACTTGGGAGGCTGAGGCAGGAGAATCTCTTGAACCCAGAAGGTGGAGGTTGCAGTGAGCCGAGATTGCACCAGTGCACTCCAGCCTGGCGACAGAGTGAGACTCTGTCACAAAAAAAAAAAAAATATTAGCAAGGCATGGTGGTGCACGCCTGCAAACCCTGCTACTCAGGAGGCTGAGGCAGGAGAATTGCTTGAACCCAGGAAGCAGAGGTTGCAGTGAGTGGAGATCGTGTCATTGCACTCCAGCCTGGGTGACAGAGCAAGACTCCGTCTCAAAAAAAAAAAAAAAAAAAGGAAAAAGAAAGAAATAGACGTGTTCACCTTTAAAAACATCTCTTGTGTATTGTCACAGTCTATGCCGCAAGCATTGAAGCCTCACGAGCTGCAGCCACAGCTACCATTGTGCAGCTAGCACCTGGCCCAGCCCGTAGTGTCTGCCCAGCTTATGAGTCAGGCTGCCTGTTTGTCCCCCAAAGAGTTGTTCATTTCATCTCAGATGAACAAAGAAGACATTCTGGTCATGAGAGGATGGTTGTCAGGGTTTTCCTGACACAGCACTAGAAAGAAGATACTTTGATTGCTGTCTTCTTGGTGGGGACCAGCAGAGGTAGAAGCATGTCCACAGTTTTCAAGGGTGAGGTTCATATAAAGACACTGGTGGCAGAGTCTCTTTGGGCGGACACTCTAATGTTTCCAGGTGGGAGAGTTTGACCTTTAGTGAAAACGGAAAGGGAAGAGGAGGAGGAGGAAAGCAGCTTCCATTAAGAACTTACAGGCTGGGCTCTGTGGCTCACACCTGTAATCCCAGCACTTTGGGAGGCTGAAGTGGGCGGATAACCTGAGTTCGAGAGTTCAAGACCAGCCTTGCCAACATGGTGAAACCCCGTCTCTACTAAAAATACAAAAATTAGCCGGGCGTGGTGGTGGACGCCTGTAATCTCAGCTACCTGGGAGGCTGAGACAGGAGAATCACTTGGACCTGGGAGGCGGAGGTTGCAGTGAGCTGAGACCGCGCTATGGCACTCCAGCCTGAGTGACAGAGTGACTCCGTTCCCCCCAATCCCCACAAAAAGAACCTACTGTGTGGCCTGAAGCACTGTGCGTTCATTTACTACTCCTTACAGCAACCCCGGGAAGAGTGTTGCCCTCTATTATGCTCATCTCTCATTCACTTCCTTCAGTACCCACATACTGTCAGTTTCCACATTCTGTCCATCCAGACTCCAATATTTCTACTTTGTCCCCTCTCTCCTGCCCCAGTGGCAATGCCTGAGCTCAGGCCACCATCTAATTTGACATGAGGGGGTATGAGATCCACTAAGCTCACCACACACGTCACAGCCTTCGAGGGAGCTGCATTAGGACCTGGGTCTTGGATTGAAGGGAATTTCTCTGTCGAGCTATGATTTTGAGACTGACTGAGATTCTCTGGATACTTCTTTCTGTGTCCCCCGCCCCCAGGCCTAAACCTTTGACCTGTTCTCAGAAATTAATCTTTTATTAGTTTAACATTTACTGAGTACTTCCTAAGGACCAGGCATTTTGCTAGATACCCAGAAGATGTGGGGTACAAAATAATACCTTGCCCTTGTGGAGTCTGCTATTCTAGCTCCTTTTCCCTCTGAACAGTTGCTCCAGTCTCCTGCCTGTAGCCTCAGTAATGATCGCGCTCTCTCTGGGAGTAGGGAGTTACCAAGTGGTCTTTATACCAGAAGCTGGACGTGGCCTTTAACCAGACAAACTCCCCAAGAGTCAGGAATTCTGCATCCTGTCCTGACAGGCCCTGGGCAACTCTGTTCTGCCCATCCAGGGGCAGTAAGTGGTCTCTTATGTAACCCCCCTCCTTTAGCCACCTCCACTCAAGAGAAGGACAAAGGTTAGGGATTCTTGGCATCTTAGGTACTCAGTTCAACCATGCAGCATATCACCCTGGGCACCCTGAGACCACAGAGGGACCCTGGCCTCCAGGACAGAAAGCCTACGGACTTGATGTTGGCCAGGGATTTCTCTGGTTTTGGTGTCATGAGCACTCAAGTAGACACGACTTAGATTCATTTTGCCTTTAATGATCAAATGTCTGCTTCCCTGGTACATTCTGTTTCTTTGAACTGGGCTGCTTTGATACAGTTAGAAATAACAAAAATTTAGGAAATCAAACAAACTCAACTTTTAAAAGCAAAATATGTGACAGAAAGATTTGGCTCAGTGAATGTGCTTCAAATAGGAAAAGTTCAATCATGAATAGAAGGCTTACGATTTTGAGGGCCAAGAGGCTCATCTGAAGAATGGCTCCTGGGCCTTTCACAGCCCTAAGGAGTGAACACACACTTTGACTTTTTTCTCTGTAATTTGGTCTGAGATGGTCAGGTCATAAATTCCAGGCTGAGAATTTCACTTCCTTGAGAGTTACCCTCACTCACTCAGAAGGACCCAGCTGATGAGTGGCCTGAAGATTTAGGTATCAACATCACCCATTCCCCAACCCCCCAGCCCTGTGTCTTCATTCTCCTATCCAAGGACCAGGGCTGTGGAAGTTCCCAGAGGCAGGTGCATCCATGTGAGGGGAAGTGACTAGATTTCCCAGAACCCTCTGCTGTAGAAGGGTTGTTTGGGAAGATGTCCATGGACTGCTTAGGGAATTATTACAAGTTCTGTTGCAGGGATGTGCTTGGGTGGGCTGGCTTTAGCTGAGGCTCTGAAGGGACTGGGTTTGAAATAGAGGAGAAGGAAAAGTAAAAAATAAACCCAACCAAAAATACCAAAAAAAAAAAAAAAACCAAAAAAAAACCAAAGCCACCGAAACAATGGTACAAAGGAAGAAGCCCTGTCCCCGTGAGCAGATGCAGATGGAGTGGTGGGGTCAGCCCAGCCCAGGCCACTGTCCCAGGCCTCCCAAAGCATTTGTGACAGGCTGGGAGGAAAAACAGCTGTGGTCCAGGGACAGCGTGGGATTAGGGAGAGGCCCAGGGGATAAATGACCACACGAGGACACCCTCAGAACAGAGGGAGGGCCACAGCGTTTAGATTTGGCAATCAGAGGAGCAGAGGGTGCTTTCCACTCTACCAGCGGAACCCTGCCATGTAGACTGGCAAGTAGACTAATTCACGTGGCATAGTGAACATTCCAGCTGAAATTATACAGCTCAACTTCTGGCCGGGTGCGGTGGCTCATGCCTGTAATCTCAGCACTTTGGAAGGCTGAGGTGGGCACATCACGAGGTCGGGAGATCGCGACCATCCTGGTCAACATGGTGAAACTCTGTCTCTACTAAAATACAAATCTTAGCCAGTTGTGGTGGCACATGCCTGAAGTCCCAGCTACTCGGGAGGCTGAGGCAGGGGAATCTCTTGAACCCAGGAGTCAGAGGTTGTAGTGAGCCGAGATGGCGCCACTACACTCCAGCCTGGCAACAGAGCCAGACTCCATCTCAAAAAAAAAATTATGTATATATATGCAGTTCATCTTCTAACTATATCAACCAACCGGACAACTGCCAGATCTCCGGGTCTCACTGGGATCCATGGACACAAGCTGTAGGTTTCACTATCAGGAGGCTGCCTGAGATCTGTGTCTACTTCTAGCATATATGATCTCACTTGCACGCAGAGAGTTGAATCGACTGCATGCTCTTTAAGGCCCTTTAGGTTTCTGAGCATCTGTGATTTAATAGAGATCCAGAGCTAAACACTATTAGGGACAAACTGTGCTGTGAATGCTGGGTGGACAGCAGGGGAAGGAAGAACTCACAGAGTGAACCCACCCTCTACGTTGCGAGATCCTACCCAGATCCCCTGAGACTCTGGGGGACGGGGCAGTTTGCAGGCTTCTCTTGATGTTATAACCAACTAAGATGTATCCTATTTTGTCTTATTTCACTTTTGGTATCTTGATAGGTCATTGTTATTTACACCAAGAGACTGTATCTGTGAGAATCTTTTAACAGTTCAGTTAAGGAATCCTCTTCAAGTCAAGGCTTATGGAGAGTGCAGGTCTGTGAGCCAAAACATGAGGGTTCTAGGCCCAGCTTAGTCGTCAACTTGCCTCTCGCCTTGGCAATGCATCCGCTTTGCCAGGATCCAAGCTTTATCTCTTTCTCGCTACTTTCACATCCTGTGACTGTGTTGCAATACCTAGAACAGGAGGAAGACAGGGCCCAGCAAGGTGGAGGAAAAGATGGAGTCAGCACGGAAAGTCAGGGGAGGGTCGTATTAGCCTGGGAACCATTCAAACCCTTGGGCCCCTAATGACTCTGCTTGTATCTTTAAATGTTTGACGTCCATTGGCTGCTTTCCATCTTCCACACCATCAGCTCTTACCAGGGCCTGTGGACCTCCTGGAAACACCAAGACTCACCGGGTCCCCATTTCTTTTCTGCATATGCATTCACCATGGGGAAGCAGAGCCAGAGAGACGGAGCGTGGCGTGAGGAAGGAGGCCACGTGCAGAGTGCAGCTGGGGAAGATGCTTCTATTTTGAAACTACTGTAGGCCCCCTAGCCTCAGTACCAGGGGAAGACCACCCTCCTGGGTAAATACCATCTGCTATTTTCCTTAGATGAAACTGTTTATCTGAAAAGGAAATACAAAACACAGATTCTATTTTTCTGCACTGTGTGTCTCTGATGGTAATAATAATAGTTGTGCAACCTAGTCTGTGGTTATTAAACCTATCTTACGGTCACAAAGGAGCTGTAAGGAAGCCAAGAGGCACAGAAGCCCTGAGGGAGGATTTGGAGGTTTTGCAAATTCCAAACGATTTTGCAGATGAACTGGAGTAACCCACCACAGAGCAGAAGAGACAGACTCAAGCTCCAAGTGCATCTTGCCTTCGTGGAGTTTGTCTTGAAACCAGAAGAATTTCCTCCGTGTGTTATTCTCAGTCTTATCCACACAAGGTGGTTCAGCACTCAATCTAGAGGACATTTGTTGAATATAAATGTCTGTCTCCCTAGCACAAAATCACTGGGACATTATTCCATGGAACATTCCATGAGTCCATAGAATAGTTTATTCCATGATCCAAATGGTCTGATTGATTCTTCCACCAAATTCCATAACTAATTACTCCGTGTGTGTGTGTGTGTGTGTGTGTGTGTGTGTGTGTGTTTGGGGGTGTGGTACTGATCAGCCCAGAGCTGAAGCCCTTGAGCTCCGGGAGAAAAGCACCCTTTTCTGAAAGCTTCTCATGGTGGGATCAGAGCCAGCCTTGGGATTTTAGCGAGGGGTCTGAGACCAATATGAAGAGGGAAGAAAGAAGGGTCTGGATGATTTTGAACCATTTTTGTGGGAAAACAAGATGACTCTCTCATGAAGTACCAACCAGACCTGGAACCCAGGCACACACACACAGTGTTCCTATCATTCTTCCCTCAGAAGGAGGCTGGTCCTCTGTCCTCCATATGCTTCTAGGGCAGTGAGGGCCCATTCCGGACTCTCCCTCTGTCTCCACCCCTCATGTTGTCTCCAACATGGCCCTTGAGGCTCATTTCACCCATTTTTGCCTGGGTGAAAATAATGGAGGAGGGCAGTGATCCTGCCCCACACCTGACCCCCACCCATCAGCCCTTGCAGTACTGAACAAGCTGAACTTGGGAATGAATAAGAAAGAGTTCTGAGAAAAGAGGAGAAGCAGAGGAAGACCAGAGTTGTCACTTGGGGACAAAAGTGACCTTACCTCTTGTTGACTCCACATTCCCTTCCTTTGGGAAGCTTTTCTTTCTCTATTTTATAGCAATCTGCCCAGTCCATATGGTTGGATGAGACTGGCTGGCTTTATCTTGTACCACCACTGCAGGGGCAGGCACATGACCCAGCCTGGACACTTAAAGCAATCCCTCAGGCAGGACCCTGCATCCAGAGCGGTCAATCTTCCCTCAGATGTTTGCTGCATCTTTCAGGGAATACTCTCCTTTTCTTCCTTAGGTCACTAGCATGAAGGACCATGTCCATCCAGAACTTCCAGGGACCACCTTAGAGTCACATTTCAGGTAAGAGCCTTTTTGCAAATAAAGCAAAACAGAGGAACCGTGGATCTATCACTGAACCCTTGGATCCATCTGTGCCTCAGGCAGAACCACCGGTTACTAACTAGTACAGGTGCATAGAAAGGAGGAGATCAGGCTGAGCATGGTGGCTCATGCCTGTAATCCCAACACTTTGGGAGGCTGAGCTGGGCAGATCACCTGAGGTCAGGAGTTTGAGACCAGCCTGGCCAACATGGTGAAACCCTGTCTCTATTAAAAACACAAAATTAGCCAGGCGTGGTAGTGCATACCTGTAATGCCAGCTACTCAGGAGGCTGAGGCAGGAGAATCGCTTGAACCCAGGAGGCGGAAGTTGCAGTGAGCTGAGATCCTGCCATTGCACTCTAGCCTGGGTGACAGAGTGAGACTCGGTATCAAAAAACAAACAAACAAACAAAAAACCTAGAAAGGAGATCAGAGGTGAATGTCCTCATCTTGTGGTGATGCTGACCAAAACTCAAAAGGACATGATGGAGAACCAGGAAAGCCAGTGCTGTCATTCATTCCAGGTCTGAAGGCCCAAAAACCAGGCGCTCTGATGTTGAAGGGCAGGGGAAGATGGGCGTCTCAGCTCAAGAGGAGAGACAGAATTCGTCCTTCCTCCATCCTTTTGCTCCTTTGGGCCCTCCATGGATTGGGTGATGCCTGTCTACATTGGTGAGGGTGATTTTCTTTACTCAATCAGATGATTCAAATGCAAATCTTTTCCAGAAACACCCTCACAGACACACCCAGAAATAAACTCTTGCCAGCAATCTGGGCATTTCCTAGCCCAAGTGTTACTGGAAAGGGGTCCCGATTCAGATCCCAAGAAAGGGCTCTTGGATCTCGTGCAAGAAAGAATTCGAGGTGAGTCCATAGAGTAAAGTAAAAAGCAAGCTTACTAAGAAAGTAAAGGAATAAAGAATGGCTACCCCATAGACAGAGTGGCCCCAAGGGCTGCTGGTTGGCTATTTTTATGATTATTTCTTGATTATATGCTAAACAAGTGGTGGATTATTCACAAGTTTTCTGGGAAAGAGGTGGGCAATTCCCAGAACTGAGGGTCTCTCCCCTTTTTAGACCATCTAGGGTAACTTCCTGACATTGCCATGGCATTTGTAAACTGTCATGGTACTTGTGGGAGTGTCTTTTAGCATGCTAATGATTGTAATTAGCATATAATGAGCAGTGAGGATGACCAGAGGTCAGTTTTGTAGCCATCTTGGTTTCGGCTGGCTTCTTTACCGCATCCTGTTTTATCAGCAAGGTCTTTGTGACCTGTCTCTGTGCTGACCTCCTGTCTCATCCTGTGACTTAGAATGTCTAACCTCCTGGGAACACAGTCCAGTAGGTCTCAGCCTTGTTTTACCCGGCCCCTATTCTAGATGGAGTCGTTCTGGTTTAAACACCTCTGATATAGGTTGACACATAAAATTAACTATCGTAGTGGTTATGGAAGATTGAGATCATTCTAGACTTTGGTGAACTAAATTTTATAAGTTTTCTCCAGCCCTAATTATTGGCAGAGGTGTAAAAAAGACCACTAATAAGGAGGGAAAATAATTAAGGAAAAGAAATGTTAGTTTTGTGAGATTGTACCCTTTTGGTTTGGCCTTGAATTTAGTGCTTCTTAAAAGAGTGTGGGAGAAAAGGAAAGACCCTTATCTGTATTGTGAAAGGAAAATAAATCTTGGGACCCCAAAATCATTAAGCTAAAGGGAAAAGTCAAGCTGGGAACTTCTTAAGGCAAACCCACCTCCCATTCTATTCAAAGTCACCCGTCTGCTCACCGAGATAAATGCATATCTGATTGCCTCCTTTGGAGAGGCTCATCAGAAACTGAACAGAATGCAACCATTTGTCTCTCACCTACCCGTGACCTGGAAGCCCCCTCCCCGCTTGAGTTGTCCCACCTTTCTGAATGGAACTGATGTTCGTCTTACATATATTGACTGATGTCTCATGTCTCCCTCAAATGTATAAAACCAAGCTGTGCCCTGACCACCTTGGGTACATGTTGTCAGGACGTCCTGAGGCTGTGTTATGAGCATGTGGCCTGTGGCCTCAACCTTGGCAAAATAAACTTTCTAAATTAACTGAGACCTGTCTCAGGTATTTGAAGTTCATATTTTGGTAACCACAGAGGGATTCTGAGTGGAGGTGCTTCTGACCTTTGCCAAATCTCCAACTGGTGCTTGGGACCAGCCTGAGCTATCTTTATGGCCCAAACCAACAGGACAATTTGCTGAGGCCTGGAACGACCCTCTCTGGAGAATTCCTGGTCTCCCAAAATTCGGTCGTGATCTAAAGTTTATTATGTTGTACAACTACTGTGGGTTTTTTTTGGAGTTTTACTTGCTTCCAACACAAGGAAGGTAAGTTTTTCCGGCTTCCATGAAGATGGAAGGCAGGTAACTCCCCTGTGGAGTTTGAACTCGCTTCCAACAGGGAAAACACATTTTAGATTTCTCCTGCTTCTAGGGTGGAGAGCAGTCTTCAGCTTGAGTCCCATCCATAGGTAAGTAACTGAATTGGGGTTTGTCTTGGCTAAAGTTAAGGTTAACAACCAACTGGTCTTAATTTCTCCTTACCATTAGAGCACTCAGTGATCATATAAGTTGTGCCATCATTTGTTTTGCTTAACTGGTTTTGTTGTTGTTGTTTTTTGTTTGTTTCTGTTTTTGTTGTTTTGGTCTTTTCCCCATTGGGTTTGATCAACTCTATCTGACTTGGTCAAATCTAAAGGAAAGCTTCAAATTATGGGGAACAAGCCCTCTGAAGTGGCTAAATTCCCACAAGAAAAAAAAAAAAAAAAAAGAAAAGGCTGGCGTGGTGTCTCACACCTGTAATCCCAGCACTTTGGGAGGCCGAGGCGGGCGGATCATGAGGTCAGGAGATCGACACCATCCTGGCTAACACGGTGAAACCCCATCTCTACTAAAAATACAAAAAAAATTAGCCAGGCGTGGTGGCGGGCGCCTGTAGTCCCAGCTACTCAGGAGGCTGTGTGGGGAGAATGGCATGAACCCAGGAGGTGGAGCTTGCAGTGAGCCGAGATCATGTCACTGCACTCCAGCCTGGGGACAGAACGACACTCTGTCTCAAGAAAAGAAAAAAAGGGGGGGTGGTGTGATGTGGGGAGAAAAACAGCCAGACAAAGGAAAAAAACCAAAACCAAAAAAAAAAAAAAAAAAAAACAGGAAAGATTTTTGACTGCTTAAGGGGCTTTATTTACATAATGAGGCCCCTTTTTGCTAGCCAGGCCAAGCTGAAAGAGCAATGACTGTTGCCCTGCGTGGCAGTTCCATAGCTAAGGGTTCTACCTTCTTTTTGTTCTATCACAACAACCTAGCTTTGGTTCCTAAGTCAAACCCTTTCCGCTTTGGTACTTGGTGCTTCTGAAAGAACAGCATTTTTTTTCCTAGCTTAAATATGGTAATAGATTTTAAAAGATGTTTTAAAAGGAGCTCAGTGGTTAAAAGTCAGCTTAATTAAAAGCCAACATCCAAGATGTGTGTGTGTTTGTGTGTGTGCGTTTGTGTGTGTGTGTGTATGTGTATAAAAGGCCTTCGTGGTGGTGTTTTTTCTTTCTCCTAGGACCTTGTCTCTTTTTTTGAGCAAAAATGTTTTTCTTCTCAGTTGACTGAATTCTGTTTTCTTCATTTGCTTCTCCTGTCTCTCCTGTGTCTCCTTTCTCTTGCACACTCTGCCACATGAGGGACCTAAAATAGTTTATAATAGCCTGGGGTTCCTTAAAGAAAATGGAGAAAGCACCAGACTCCCTTCAGGGGAGAAACCTGTTTTTCCTTATGGAACCGCAAGAGTGTAAACAGACAAGTTCATCTCAGCTCTTAAACGGCTTGCCTTTTTACTGCTACCTGATTTACTGACGAAAATAGTTATTGCAACATAGGCTGCTCTTGGGTTTTTAAGGAAGAGTGTAATTTAGAAACTAAGAAATGTCTTTGTTTAAAAAAAAATTTTTTTTTTTGAGACAAAGTTTTGCACTTGTTGCCCAGGCTGGAGCACAAAGGCACGATCTCGGCTCACTGCAAACTCTGCCTCCTGGATTCAAGTGATTCTCCTGCCTCAGCCTCCCAAGTAGCTGGGATCACAAGCGCCCACCACCACGCCCAGCTAAATTTTGTGTATTTATTACAGACGGGGTTTCACCATGTTGACAAGGCTGATCTTGAACTTCTGACATCAAGTGATCTACCCTCCTCGGCCTCCCAAAGTGTTGGAATTACAGGCATGAGCCACCACACTGGCCAAAAAAAATTGTTTTAAGTGCACTGTAAAAGCATCACGTGGTCTAGCCTCATAATAATTCTGCCTTTTTGGAGACCCAGGGTTCAGTGTGGGCTCTCTGCCCAGAGCTCAGAGATCCAGTTAAAAGACAGGTAGTCCCTATCTAAATAAAGTTGGTCTCCTCATAAAATTCTATGACAGATTTGTGTAATTTTATGTTTGATTTGGCATCCCTCTTGAATATCCCTCCAGCAACACCAGACTTCTGTCTCTGTACTTTGAGATGTAAATTTTGCTATCTGATTTTTCACCCAAGAGTTGTTCGTTCAGTTGCAAATTTAGGGCTCATCAGCTGACAACTGCCAGGGTAATGAAATAGGTTATCAAGAGTTTGCAAGTCGGAGATAGGAAAAAAAGGAGGTTTTAGGAATCTATAAATACATCTATGTATTATGTGTTGTGTACACAATGTTTGACTACTAGAAATATATAAAAGAGCTCTAACTAATTGGCTTAAAGAAAAATAAAAGCTCTTACATCAAATACTTTATCAAAAAAAAAGGAAAGACTAGTTAAATGCTTTTTCTAGTTTCTGTGACTTAAGTAAAATCTTTAATAAATAAGCTAGCTTTAAAAGTATTGGTAAAGTAATATTAAAAATGTCTTAAGAACTGCCAGCAAAAATTTTTGTTTGCATTTATTGATCAAGTAATTTCAAATTTATCCCTGCCAAATACTATAAGACGTCAAAATTTGGCATGGGGGTTACAAAACTATAAACCCAGCTCAAAACAGAATGATCTTTGCTTGTGTAATTTTTAAATAAGTAAGACATTGATATTGGTTTAGTGAAAACAGCTACTTCTTGAATTGTTTAGTAAAATTATCGTAACTTTTAATCTCATGGCTTTAGGCAGTCTTGTCCACAGGCAGTAAGGAGATTTGTTTTGGCAAAGGACTGTTCTCAACTTTGTTTCAAAGCTAAACTATAAACTAAGTTCCTCCCAAAGTCCCGGAATGAACAAGGACAGCTTGGAGGTTATGAGCAAGATGGAGTCAGTTAGGGCAAATCATTTCCGCTGTCTTAGTTAGAATCTTGCAATAATGAGTTTCGTAACATTAAATGATGACTATCACAGTTTTCATAAATAATCTAGGTAAAGGATTAAAATAAAATAATTAGATAAATGTCATGGGATAAATACTTATAGACAAACCTGTGATAATTTAGAATCTAAAGTTAAATTAAATAATAGATATTTCATTATTTGGATATTTTCAAAAAAATTGTAGGAAAAGATTCTTTCTAAAAAAATGGCCTTTTTAAAAAGGTGAACAATTTTTGTCTAATTCAAAGTTCATTTAAAGGTTATGTATAAAACAAGATAAAAGGAACTGGGAAATAAGAGAGATGTAAAGAAAGTTATAGAAATAAGGAGGTTTTTTTTTTGTAAGAAAGCTTAAAGAGAAATAATTTTATATGAGAAAGAATCTTGTACAGTAAATTTAGTCCTAGAATAAAATGACTGGTTGTTTAAGAAAGAAGGATGTTCAGGAAAAAAACTGAAAGTCCAAGCATGTCATGAATGGTCTGTGTAAGTAATAATAAGAGGATTTATTTAAAACAAAACAAAACTTTTATATGATCGAGTTGTCTATAACTGAAGAGAAATTATAATGGTCTTTATAGAAATTGGGTTTGATGTAAAAAATACACTTACACACTAAATAATTGATTAGAACAATAAAATTTTCTTAAGGGACTGATTTAGTAAATTATAGGAGATTTTAATTTTTTTAAACCCAAAGTTCAACTTTTATTGCATCTTGCTGTTTTCAGTTTCGCACCCCTTTTAAAAGGCATGAAATAGTAATGCTCTCCTTAAAGTCATTTTCGGCTCATATAAGTTTTTTTTCCCCTCAACTTCTGTTTGTTGTGGCCTGATGCTAACAATGTTTTCTTAAAGGTCTAAGGGAAATGTTTTCTTCCAACATAATATTCTGTGCACTGCAGAAGGTCTCTTCTTTTGCCTTTTGGTAACTGGCTTAAGATATTTTGTGTTTTATCAAAATAATCCCTATGCCATTATTGTGAAGTTTTGGTTTGCTTAGAAAATAACTGAGATTAAAACAATTTTTTAAAAATTAAGGTTACTATATCCATGTATCTTTCTGTATGTGCTTTTAAAGTCCTTGTGATGTTGAGTACAGGGCTTTGAGTCCTGGGTCTAAAAAGGACACCAAGTCCTGCTAAATCTTAAACACTGGCAGTAATTAAAGCCTCAACTTCAGGCTTAGTAAAAGATGCAAATCAAAATAAACTGCATTCCTGAAACACAGGGCCAGAAATTAAAGCTGTTCAACTCCTCAAAGGCCAGGGACTATCACAGAAGGGTGGGTGCATGAGATTGTAAGTGCCGATGTTGAGTGATAAAATAAGCTCAGTTTCTCTATAAATTGATCATTAATGTCAAAGGCACACTAAGGCAAGACCAGCATATGGGCCCCTGTGTCAGATTAACATTTTCTTGGAGCATTAACTGACTCCCAGATAAAGGCTATAAAGGTCATAAAAGGCCTATGGAAGTTATAGCTTATGGTCAAGATTAAAATTTTATAGATTGTTTATGAAATTTTGGAAGTCAAATTTGATTGGCTTCATGCTGTTTTTATTAGGGCTTATTGTTTGGAAAATTAAGTCTCCTCTCTCAAAGAATGAAGGTTTTCACCTTTTTTTGAAGTTCTTGAGTTACCACTCTGGTTAAATGAATGACTTATTTTACAATAACCTGTGATCCTATTTTATGATATCAGGTTTTTAAACCTTTGATATTTGACAAACTTTCCAAAATCAAATTATAACCTATGTCTTTTACTGACCTAGTTAATCCTGTTAGATATTAGGTTCCTTAAACTCCAAAAATGACATATCTGGCTTATTAGGTGTGAAAATTATATAGGAAGCATTGTCAAATATGAAATGGTATTTAGTTTTCTTTGAGTTGTATCTGTATAAATATGTTATTGGTATGTGTTCCAAAAATTATGGGAAACTCCTATAATTCTGATAAGACTTAGTGTATGTTATCAGTAATAATTATAATTGCTATGTTAAATTATTTTGTGCGACACAGGTAACAAATTTCCTTGTCAATTGTGTCTTTGACTATGGCTGCCTTAAAATTTTTTGTCATCCATGGACAATTCTGTCTTGTTTTTATCCTCTTTAGAAGGTAGTTTTATAATCAGCTATAAAACTCTAACAGGTGCTCTTGAATGCAGGTTTCTGATAACTTGGAGATTGTGACATCAGAATAGAGGAGAAACTTTCAGGACTCGTGAAGAGCTGGAATGTTCATGGACATCAAGCAGAACAGGAATTAAGTGCATGGACTCAGCTTACAGAAGACTGAAGCAATGTTTTTGACTTTTTGCTGAAAACATTGCTGTTCTTTTGTTTTGTTTTTCAGAGTAAAGAAAACTTTTCTTCTGAGCTATTAACAGCTTTTAACAATGAAGCATACTTCTATGAACAAAATTTGGAGCATATTTGTTTCTCTCTACCTGATTTCTCTAGAATTTGGAAACTATTTGTAAGTATTCTTAACTTATGGCAATATAGTTATTTGCATAAGTGCAATAAGAATCTGTTTTCATTTGTAACAGGATGCAATTGGAGAAATTGGTTATTTTACACAGGCTTTGACTGGAATGGTGTGCTTTTCTGTAAGGAATCAAACTTGACTTGTGGAACCAATAAAGGCCACTTGGGAAAACTGGCCTCATACCTTGTCTATGCAGTCCCTGTACAGAGTTCCTGACCCATGGTAAGTAAAGACTTACTTTCTGACATGCCCAGGGGCCCCAATTACTAATATCTTGGGACCTCAAGAGAAGAAGAATTCATCCAACTCATAGGTATTTGATGGTACAAATCCCATGGCTGGGCTCGGCTTTAAAAAAGTCTTTTCTGAGATTCCTTCTATGAAACAAAGTTCCATCAAAGCCTATTTTTTATTTATGTATTTATTTTTTGTGAGATGCAGTCTTGCTCTGTTACCCAGGCTGGAGTGCAGTGGCACAATCTTGGCTCACTGCAACCTCCATCTCTCAGGTTCAAGTGATTCTCTTGCCTCAGTCTCCCAAGTAGCTGGGATTACAGGTGTCTGCCACCAGGCCCAGCTAATTTTTGTATTTTTAGTAGAGATGGGGTTTCACCATGTTGGCCAGCTGGTCTCGAACTCCTGACCTGAGGTGATCTACCCACCTCGGCCTCCCAAAGTGCTGGGATTTCAGGCATGAGTGCCCGGCCCCATCAAAGCCTATTTTAAAAGACTATGCAAAAAATAATTATTCTTGCTGCACTTTATACAAATTATCTGGCCAAGTATAGTAAGGCAAATTGGTCCTACCATGATTTGTCATTAGTAAAAATGGGAAACTAGAGATAGAAACATTATATTTCAAGAACTATAATACACCTGTTGTTAGATTTTAGTCTTGCCTAATGTTTTTCAGTTTTTATTATTTTCTACAGTTTGGACTGAATTCTAATTTTTCCTGGCTACAGGTCTCCAAAACAATGTTTTCAAATTTTTCTTTTCTTTTCTTTTCCTTTTTTTCCTCCATTTTCCTAATTTGAAATCACTGAAAACTAAGCTGTGCTTTCTTAAAGCCCTGTGAACTGAATCTAGACAACATAAACTTCAGAAGAAAAGAACAGCAACCTATTTACATATGTAAGCTACTTTCATACCTGCCTACTGATGTATGGACTTCAGAGTAATGTGGCCTATATCGATTTTCTAGGATCGTTATTTTGTTTGTTGTTTTTCTCCCTTCCTCCCCCTATTTTCTCTTCATAGGACATGGTGATTCTCAGCCTGCTAAAAATGAGCTTTCCTAATAACTCAGGACCCACCTGCCTAGGAATAAATCACCCTAGCCGTGAGAGACCAGACAAAACCTGAGACCAGACACTCATTTTCTTCTAAAATGCTTTCTCCAAAAGATTTTTTAAAAGAAAAGGGGGAAAATGTGAAAGGAAAAGAAATCTTGGGGCCCCCAAAATCACTAAACTAAAGGGAAAAGTCAAGCTGGGAATGGTTAGGGCAAAACTGCCTCCCACTCTATGCAAAGTCATCACTGAGGTAAGTGCATATCTAATCACCTCCTTTGGAAAGGCTAATCAGAAACTCAAAAGCATGCAACAGTTTGACTCTCACCTACCTGTGCCCTGGAAGCTCCCTCTCTGCTTGAGTTGTCCTGCTTTTCCGGACTGAAACAATGTTCATCTTACATATGTTGATTGATGTCTCATGTCTCCCTAAAATGTATAAAACCAAGCTATGCCCTGACCACCTTGGGCACCTGTCATCAGAACCTCCTGAGGCTATGCCACAGGCATGCAGCCTCAACCTTGGCAAAATAAACTTTCTAAATTAACTGAGACCGGTCTCAGATATTCAGGGTTCACAGTATCCAAAAATCCAATTGCATCTGAAACCGCCTTTGCAAAAATTATCACAGTGAGAAAATAATGGCAGCGAAAGAGATCTGATCTAGCCAACCTCCCTCTTGCCCTTAGCCTTCAAGCTGCTTTTAATTATTCCTGGGTTTAAGCCAAGCTACATGTGGGAGTCATTTAGTTTATAGTTTAAACGAAGCAAACTCAACCACCCTTGTAATACTAATGAGAGACCACCAGGCTAGGAGGAGGAAAGGACCCTAAATTCTGCTAAGGTGTAGACATAAACAATTGTGAGGCATTATTCCAGAAGCCACAAGATATGCAACTTCCTCAGTTACCCCTGCTGGTAACGTTACTTTTGTAGAACCTAGGATTGGCCTTCTGAGATATCTTCTCAGAATTTTGCATGTCGGATGACTGATGGCTCCACCGGGACCAGCCAACGGCTTCTGTGTCCCCACCCAGAAGCTACTCAGAGAAAGAGGACAGCTTCGATGCCCTATGATTTCATCTCTGACCCAACCAATGAGCACTCCCCATACCCTAGCCCGCTACCTAACAAATTACCTTTGAAAAATCCCTAACCTCCAAGCCTTAGATGCGTTTGATTTGAGTAATAACTCTGCCTCCCACATGGTGTGGCTGGCATCACGTCAATTAACTTCTTTCTTTACTGCAACGCCATGGTCTCCATGAACTGATTTTGTTTGTGCAGTGGGCAGGAAGAACCCGTGGGGCAGTTACACATCATGAAAGAGAAGCTCTTCCTGTAAGGTACATCAACTGTGGTTAAGAATCTTACATACTTATCATTTTTTGTTGTTGTGAGAACATTTAAAATCTATGCTTTTCTTTTTCTTTTCTTTTTTCTTTTTTTCTTTTTTTTTTGAGATGGCGTCTCACTCTGTTGCCCAGGCTGGAGTGCAATGGCACGATCTTGGCTCACTACAACCTGCTGGGTTCAAGTGATTCTCTTGCCTCAGCCTCCTGAGTAGCTGGAATTACAGGCATGCACCACTCCTTTAGCAATTTTATTTATTGATTGATTGTATTATATTTTTAATATTTTTAACTTTTATTTTAGATTCAGGGGGTATATTGCAGACTTGCTCTATGGGTATATTGCATGATGCTAAGGTTTGGGGTATGAATGATTCCATCAGCCAGATAGTAAGCATCATACACAAGCACTTTAAAAATATGCAAATAGTGTGGTATGGTGGCACATGCCTGTAGTCCCAGCTACTCGGGAGAATGGGGCCAGAGGATCGCTTCAGCCTAGGTGTTTGATACCAGCTTAGACAACATTGTGAAACTCTGTCTCAAAAAATAATAAATAACAAAACAAAATAAAATATATAATGCATTATCATTTAATACAGTCATTATTCTGTGCAATAAATCACTAAAGCTTATTTTTCCTGTCTAACTGAAACTTTGTACTCTTTGATGAACTTCTCCCCTTTCCCCATCCACCTCACTTCCCTGGATTGTATTAAATTAAATTGTATTACATTGAATTTACCAGAATTAACCACTACATTAGTAGAAACTCCAGTGGGTATTCCTAAAATTATGGAGACGTAGATAGATTTAAAAGCAAAAGAAATGCTGCAATTTCTTCAGAATTCATAAAAGAACTTCTATTGGAGAAATGTAAAATTTGAGCTGGCTGAGCCTTGAGACCTCCCAAGACTAAGTTATAGGAGTTTAGCCTTCTAAACTACCTCAGGGTACAGCCTGGTCTTAACTTTTAATTTTTTTTTTTTTCTTTTTTTTGTCCGTCGCCCAGGCTGGAGTGCAGTGGCCAGATCTCAGCTCACTGCAAACTCCACCTCCCGGGTTTACACCATTCTCCTGCCTCAGCCTCCCGAGTAGCTGGGACTACAGGTGCCTGCCACTGTGCCTGGCTAGCTTTTTTTGTATTTTTTAGTAGAGACGGGGTTTCACCATGTTAGCCAGTATGGTCTCGATCTCCTGACCTCGTGATCTGCCCGTCTCGGCCTCCCAAAGTGCCGGGATTACAGGCTTGAGCCACCGCGCCCGGCCAACTTTTAATTTTTAATTTATTTTTATTTTATTTTTTTTGAGACAGAGTCTCACTCTGTCGCCTAGGCTAGAGAACAGTGGTGCACAATCTCGGCTCACTGCAACCTCCGCCTCCCAGGTTCAAGTAATTCTCTTGCCTCAGCCTCCTGAGTAGCTGGGATTACAGGCATGTGCCACCACGCCTGGCTAATTTTGTATTTTTAGTAGAGACGGGGTTTCACCATGTTGGCCAGGCTGGTCTTGAACTCCCGACCTCAGGTGATCTGCCAACCTCGGCCTCCCAAAGTGCTGGGATTACAGGCGTGAGCCACTGTGCCCAGCCTATTTTTCATTTTTATGGGTACCTAGTAGATTTATATATTAATGGGGTACATAAGATATTTTGATAGAGACATACAATGCATAATAATCATGTCAGGGTAAATGGGGTATCCATCAGCTCAAGCATTGATGCTTTCTTTTTGTTACAAACAACCTAGTTATATATACTCTTTTAGTTATTTTAAAATGTATAATAAATTGACTGTAGTCACTCCGTTGTCCTATCAAATATTAGATCTTACTCATTCTGTCTAACTATATTTTTGTACCATCCCTCATTTTCCACACCCCCAATTACCCTTCCCAGACTCTGGTAACCATCATTCTACTCTATCTCCATGGACTCAATTGTTTTGAGTTTTAGATCCCACAAATAAATGAGAACATGTGAAGCTTGTCTTTCTGTGCCTGGCTTATTTCACATAACATAGTATCCACCAGTTCCATCCATGTTGTTGCAAATGACTCATTCTTTTTAATGGCTGAATAGTACTTCATTGCGTACATGTACCATATTTTCTGTATCCATTCATCTGTTGGTGGACATTTAGATTGCTTCCAAATCCTGGCTGTTGTGAACAGAGCTACAACAAACATGGGAGTGCAGATATCCCTTTGACATCTGATTTCCTTTCTTCTGGGCATATACCTAGCAGTGGCATTGCTGGATCATATGGTAGTTTAGCTTTTTTGAAGAAACTGTTATGCATGGTGGTTGTGCTCATTTATATTCCCACCAACAGTGTATGAGGATTTCCTTTTCTCCACATCCTTGCCAGTGTTTGTTATTGCCTGTTTTTGGATGTAAGCCGTTCTAACCGGGGTGAGATGGTATCTCCTTGCAGTTTTGATTTGCATTTCTCTGATGATCAGTGATGTTGTGCACCTTTTGATATGTATGCTTGTCATTTTATATCTTCTTTTGAGAAATGTCTATTCGAATCTTTTGCCCATTTTTAAATTGGATTATTATAATTTTTTCTGTCAAGTTATTTGAGCTCCTTGTATATTCTGGTTATTAATCCCTTGTCAGATGGGTAGTTTGCAAATATTCTCTCCCATTCTGTGGGCTGTCTCTTCACTTTGTTGATTGTTTCTTTTGCCATGAAGAAGCTTTTTAAACTTGATGTGATTCCATTGGTCCATTTTTACTTTGGTTGCCTGTGCTTGTGGGGTATTACCCAAGAAATAATTGCCCAGTCCAATGTCCTGGAGAATTCCCCCATGTCTTTTAGTAGAGACGGAATCTCACTCTGTTGCCCAGGCTGGAGTGTGATGGCATGATCTCAGCTCACTGCCACCTCTGCCTCCCGGATTCAAGCAGTTCTTCTGCCTCAGCTTCCCAAGTAGCTGGGATTATGGGGTTATGGGGTGCCCCACCATGCTCAGCTAATTTTAGTATTTTTAGTAGGGATGGGGTTTCACCATGGTGGCCAGGCTGGTCTCGAACTCCTGACCTCAAGTGATCCACCTGCCTCAGCCTCCCAAAGTGAGATCTAAGTCTTTAATCCATTTTGATTTTTTTATATGGTCAGAGATAGGGCTCTAGCTTTATTCTTCTGCATATGGATATCCAGTTGTCCCTGCTGCATTTATTAAAGAAACTATCCTTTCCCCAGTGTATGTGTTTGACACTTTTGTAGAAAATGAATTAATTATAGATGTATGGATTTATGTCTGTGTTCTCTATTCTGTCCCATTGGTATATGTGTCTGTTTTTATGCCAATGCCATGCTGTTTTGATTACTATAGCTCTGTAGTATAGTTTGAGGTCAGCTAATGTGGTTCCTCAAGTTTCATTCTTTTTGCTTAGGAAAGTTTTCGCTATTCTTGGTCTTTTGTGGTTCCACATAAATTTTAGGTATTTTTTCTATTTCTGTGAAAAATGTTATTGGTATTTGATAGAGATTGCATTGGATCATCAGATTTCTTTGGGTAGTATGGGCATTTTAACAATATTGATTCCTTCATGAACATGGAATATCTTGCCATTTGTGTGTGTGTATGTGTGTGGGGGGTCTTCAATTTTTTTCATCAA